TAGGTGGTAACGTAACTATTAACTAACTTAGTATGTCTAGGTACGAGGAAGTAAATTACTTCTACGTCATATGACATGTCTTTATTACTTATCGTTCGTCGTCTCTCTCTCTCTCTCTCTCTCTCTCTCTCTCTCTGTTATATGAATGCATGTTTATCTGTGTTGTGCATTTAGAGCTAAAGGAATTTCTCTCAACAAACTCATATGGAGACCACCACCTCCTCACAAGGCAAATACATTGAATTTGAGGATAAAGTGAAGAGGACTGTTTTCCTCGACAATCTTTTACCAAAGGATACAATTTCAGTGTTAACAAAGGCACTTGGGCAGTTCGGTAAAGTCATCTCTATAGAATTCTTACCAAACTATACACAACCAAGGGACAACGATCAGTGTGCTTTAGTGGAGATGGAGAATGAGAAGCAAGCACAAGGCGTAATCACTGGATTGTCCGATTTTCCCTTCATGATGACTGGGATGCCAAGGCCTGTGAGAGCAAGGATAGCACAGGCTGAGATGTTTAGCGATCGGCCAAATCATCCAGGTCAAAGCACTAAGTCACGGTGGGTCTCACGCTTTGAACCCAATTTCATGGTAGTGAAGAGGCTGAAACATATGATAAGGAGGCATGAAGCTGAGGCTTCTTTTTTGCTCTAGGTGCCTCCCTTTCAGATACTCTCAATATGGTGGTAAGGAAGTATACATTAGTTGGACGGACTATGGAAAGGCATAGTCCACTCGGGTCATGACCCTGATCATGACCATCTAATAAAATGATAGACCATGAAAAAGAGAGTTTGGAACCCTCCATATCGGTCATACCATTTTATGCAGAGTCCTACTCTCTTATGCAGAATCCTACTCTCTTTCTATCACTGTATGTTGGGAAGAGAGTAGGACCCAATAGATCATGGTTTCCCATGGTCCATTGGACTGTATTTCTTCCCCTCCTCGAGGGTAGTCTAGTCTCACATGGTCCTTGGAGAATGACAAAACCTGAACTTACCCAAATGCTGAAATGCATGTTTGTAGCCACTAAATTGAGTAATAAGCATTGCATTTCATTTCTCTCGCCTTGTAGGAACAAATGAAAGAAGAGAAGCAGCTTGCGCAGCACCAAGAGGAGAGACTGAGAGCATTCTATAAGAAATATGAGATGATTGAAGCCATAATTTCAGATGGCTCCGTGAATCGGCTGGAACGACACTACAATATAAGGATGAAACATGACTGAGGGATTTCCTGGTAACTTATATCATATGCCTTTGAAGTGATTACTGGTTTTGTGGCCTTCACACACGGTCTCAAGTGGATTGGGATCAAACTCATCAAAGTATTTGTATTTATGGTGCAATTACAATGGAATATTGTGCAAACAATTAACAAGAGAAAGGAAACGAATTTTGTGAAGTAGTAATAGGATAGATGACCTTGGAGTAGTACTCTCAATGAGAGTGAAAGGTCCACTGTGTTGCAGTCACTACATTTGCTATAGAGAGAGAGAGAGAGAGAGATGCAATATGTGCTTTAGCCAGTACATAATGGCCAATGTGACCATTTGTTTGCACCTGCTCCCCGAACTCCTATCTTCTAATTGTTTGTAACTTGGAAGTTTCATCCTGCCAGCATTGTCACTTTCACTCTCTTTTTCCTTTTGTTTGGCTGTCGTTTCAGTCTCTCAATTGCTTGGCCCCTTTTTCGTTATTTTAGGGGTCGTTTGGATACCTGAAAATATATTGTCCGTGAAATATATCAATCGATTGTTACTGTTTAGATAGTATTTAAATGCGGAAAAGTTTTTTATGTTCCCACTACAATATAGAAGTTCTATCCTCCACCTTATCCAACCTTCCATTTTGAATGGAGCGCTAAGAATGTCCCAATCACAATGTCATGTCTCTACACTATTTTATTTTTAATTTTTTTTCTTTGAACTATTTTGACACCAAATTTAGACCTCCATTCCTCTATTAAACTCGCACTAACGAAAAATATAAAAAAGAAATATTTTTAATAAAATAAAATGACCAAAATACCTCTGCAAGTTTCAAGGGGTATTTTGGTCATTATTTTTTATCGAAAAATTATTGTTAATATTTTTTTATAGGTGTGCCCCAATGAGAAAATGGCACGCACCAAATTTCATATTAAAAAAAATTGTATTAAAAAAACTAAAAATAAAATACTTTGAGACGTCAGATCTAAGATCGAATGGTGAGTGGCTCTCTTGATAAAAAATAGATGGCTGGATGGTAGGAGGAGGATAGAACTTCTATGTTATAGGGGGGACATAGAAAGCTTTCTCTTTAGATGCAACTTGGGAAATACATTACTGTTGTTTGACTATGCCTTAAAGAAATATAGGAAATGCATTACAACATTTTTAGTAGCACTCGACTATAACCCCATAATCAAGATTTCTGACACCTTTCATAATTATTGATTTTATGGAAACTAGGCACTTGACTATAACCTTATAACCGCATGATCAAGATTTCTAAAACCTTTCATAATTATTGATTTTATGGAAACTAAAATAACAAGAACGAGCCCAATCAACATGTAACTTTATTGATTTTATGGAAACTAGAGTAACAAAGAACGAACCAAAATAATTTAATGTAACCTGCTCAAATCAACCCCTTTGGGGTATAAAATGTTTACTGTTGCAAGAATCTTTTACCCATCAAACCCTATTTTTATAGGGCCTCATAAAAAATGAAAGCCTTAAAAAATTTAGGACAGATTTATGTCATAAAAAATAGGTAAAACCTTAATTTTTTAACAGAGAGGGAGAAATTACTCTTACTTGACACATAAGAGAGACAGATGCTGACTTCAAATAAGGTGAGAGTGGTTGCTCTAAGAGAGAGAAATAAAAAAGACGCTGACTTCAAATAAGGTGAGAGTGGTTGCTCTAAGAGAGAGAAATAAAAAAGACAGATGCTAATTTTGAATAAAGAATAAGGTGAGAGAGGTTGCTCTAAGAGAGAGAAATAAGAGAGACAGATGCTGACTTCGAATAAGATGAAAGAGGTTGGTCTAACAGAGAGAAACATAACAGTTTTGCTTGAGGTTGTTCCAAGTTTGTTGCTAATAGGGTGAGAGAGGTTGCTCCAAGAGAGAAAGGCAACAATTTTGCTAGAGGATGCTCCAAGTTTGTTGCTCCAAGAGAGGTAGTAAATTTGCTCGCAGTGGTTACCCGCACAATTTGCGTGTACAAAGAGCAGAGAAGGGATGCGTGTAGAGAGCAAAGAAGGGAGGCTCGAAGAGGGAGAGAGAAGGGATGGGTGTAGAGAGAGCAAAGAAGGGAGAGAGAAGAGAGGTTGAGTTAGTAACGAAGAGATTTGGGGAAATGGCTCGTAAAAATTATCGTTGCACCCGTAATTGATTTCTTAGTTTCGCACGCGTAATAGTTTTGACATTATTTGGAGAAATGACTTGCTCATTGGGTGTACCCAAATACTGAAAATACTAGATTTCCTTATAATATGTTTCCTTGTAATGGATTTCCAGATATCCAAATGACCCGTTAGTGTTAAAATTCCTAGGATAGCATGAAAATATATTTTTACTATTAATTATAAAATTTAAAATTCTAAAAATGGCGCATACTGAACAAATTTATAAATACTTGAAAATCTTAAAAATGAACGGATAATGTGTTACATGATGCTCTATTTATGGAACTTGAAATCTTTTTTTTTTTTTTTTTTCTATATTCATGCATTTTGAGGTTGAGATGATGAATTGGAAGGTATGCCTTAATTTTACAGTAGCACTTTATATCATTGTTTTTCGTATGCTCAAAGCAGGACCATATTGTATAACAACTCCCTCAGGCAAAATAGACATGACTTCTTTTATCCAAAATTTCTGGAATCTATCCATCACTAGATTATTTTTATTTTATTTTTTTTTCAAGAAAACAAATGGATTTTGAGTTTTTTTTTTTTTTTCCAAAAAAACAGAAATGGATTTTGAGTTGCTAAACATCTAGATTTTTCCCTCCAAAATTGGATGGTTCTTGTTCAATCGTGAAACGTCACTTTATTTGGATGCATAGAGAGTGGGAATTAATTTTTGTGTTTTCTTTGAGGTTGGTCCTAGAGAGTGCGAATTAATTTTTCTTTTTTCTTTGAGGTTGGTCCTAAAGAGTGTGAATCAAATTTTCTTTTTCCTTTGAGGTTGGTCCCTGGGCTCTAAAGATTACATCCTTAAAATTTTAGGATTCAAAAAATATTCCTAGCCTGGGTTTTCCTGAGGGAACAAATTACTATATACACTCCATAGGAGCATAAAATATTTTCACATGCATATAACGTTGATGCTTTAAACAACCAAAGTAAAGCGCATCTTAAAAAGATGTGTTTTGAATGCAAAAAACCTTATTTTAATCCCTAACTAGGAAATTTTAAAAATTTTATTTTCATCTTTAAAGCTTCAAAAATAATACAGCTCTAACACACTATAAATACTTGAAAATCTTGAAAATGTACAGTTCAAATAATGCATTACAGAAACTATTATTTTTAAAAATTGCTAATTTTTTTTTTACTATACATCCATCTCAAAGTCAAAATGATCATTCAAAAGGTTTTCAACATTGAAAAAACATTTTTCTACGAATTCTTTATGTGCATTCAAGCTAGTATATGGCTTACACCTTGTACAAACTCTCCTTTGTGCGCGCTGCTTGGAAAAATCACTTTTCTATGTAGCATTACTTCACAAAACATAAGAGTCCATTTTCGAGTAATTGATGTTCTATCGTTCTGAGGTTCTGAACTGCCCATTTGACTAAGTTCTGAGCATTGGAACTGTAAACCGGCTCTGAATCACATTTCTGAAGATGCATGACAACTTTGGAGCCAATACATAATTCATAGAAAAGCCAATCTCCTAAATACAAAGAAAAACAACAGTTACCAATAGACAACAAAAGCAATATGTTATTGAAACAACAGGCGTCGTCATTCATGGCCTCAAAAAATCAAAAGTAAAAACATAATATGAGAAACTCAAGAACAGCTTTCACATTATTGGAGATTTGAATGGAGCCAAATTAACAGGCATCCAGATCCCGGCACGGAGGTGGCTTCGGCTCTCGTAGCAAAGTGGTATTTCCCCCTTGTGGACCGCTCCTTATGCGATCAGGGTTTTGGGTTCCAACCTGCGTGACAAAACATGAAGGTAGTCAGCAAAAGTATTATAAGTTGGTATTATTTTCACAAATTTCTCTCTCAAAATTCCCAAGAAGAGTTCTTTTTTTCTCTATTTCCATTACTCTTTACTGTTGGATGGGAAGGCTGCCGTTATTACAGTTCTTTAGTAACAATAAGTTTCCATATAATTGAACAGAAGTATACCATAATCCAGTAAGCTACAGAAAAAACAGTCCATCAGATATCACTGTCCAAAGAACTGATGGATGGTAGAGAGTGGGCACCACCCCTGGGCCCTACTCTCTGTCGTCCATCATCGATGAGTATACTCTATAGTCTTTTAAAAACCGTTGATCTGGATCAAGAATAGTGATCAGGATCGGGAAATCTGTTAGAGAACCGGGCAAGTATGTCAGGGAACTGGGGGACCTGGACGGACCATATCACTCAGCACCAACCCATTTCTTTTTTTATATTCTCAATATTTTAAATTTTTCAAACTTAGAAGTGTTATTTTAGTTCATTCCCACAACAGAGAATCCACACTAGAGAATCAGTCCCATCCAGGCCGGATAGGCATTCCAGATAGGTCGAGCAAGTGACCAATCTGGCCTCCCGATCCAGGTCATAAAACACTGGCTAATAGGATTATAGGATACTTTACCATCATTCGAATCAAACATATCGGATACTTACAGGAGGGATTTCTCCTCTTCTCAGCATTTCTACAATCTCAATAACTCGCTTTGGAGTAAGGTCTTCCTGTATAATCATAACAAACAAATAAACACCAACTGATTAATAATGCTATACATTTTTCTTCTCGTCAGTAACAGTATTAGTGGACTGGGAAAGTGAAAACTGACATAGTAATTGTACGTGTATCCCTCTGAGCCCTTTGAGTAATCAGCCACAGCAATCATTGGAGCATTGACACAGGAACCCTGCCAAAGCATAAAAAGACTCAACAGCCTATTTGACAATACACTTCAAATCATTCTTTCAGAATGACTGCATAAGAATGTATCAGATGAAATAACACGAAATATGTGTTACCATGCACTCCATTTCCCCAACGGAGAATAAACCATCTTTTGTCACTTCTGCAATAGAAGACACATTAATGAATTTGAATACATGATTGGGCATTCATGACGTTTAATTGATATAAGCAAATGTAGAAGGATATCAATTGGAGTCGGGCTTCTAAATTGTCAGCAGTATCAAACAGGAATTCTTAGGTTGATAAATAACCATCCTGACCGTTAGACTAAAGATATTGTGTTAATGAGGGTGAAAAAGCATCTCAATGACGACTTATAAACCTCAAAATCTTTTGGATGACAATAGACAAAAGAAGCATTCTGACACCCACCATTGCGTTTCACTCCAAGGTGTTTGAGCAAGGCCTCTTCTATTTCACGTGAACCACGTATCATACAAGGAGTTGTGCCACAAACTTGAAGGTGATATTTGCCAACCTGCACATAAGAGTGATAGTATTTTCATTTCATTCATTTCACTGGTAATACTCTGTGCCACCCTCCCACCCTCTGCCCCATCCCTTCTCCAAGACCGTAATACTGCGAGGTTTTAAGTCTCAAGAGTCCGCTTGTTCCAATTTGAGCGTATTTGGAGAGGATTTAGAAAATACTTGAGGCGGCTGGGTCTTAGATTTTGTCTAAAGCTGAGCCTAAAGAAGTTTGCTCTTTTTTTCTTTCCTTTTTTTTACCTCGTCTACAATACCTGATAAACTCACCTTCATTCGGTTGAACATAGAATAAAATGTTGCCACTTCATACACACGAATTGGAGCAACTTCTATGATCTTAGCTATCTGAATAATCAAAATAATTATGAGTGAACAAGTTGATCCAACATCTCAACAGTAAATGTTATTGTAGCACAAAATCTATTACAGAAGGAAGCTTTATCAAGCAGATATAATGCAAAGAAAGAAGACCAAAAGTTACCCAACAGAACATATCAATCAACACATTCATCATAATAATTCTTTCCAAAATTTCAAGAAATAAGAAATATTCGCACCATCACATCAACACAGACTACATTTAAACATTTTCATCTGGAAAAAGAAGTAGATGGCAACCAATTCCGTGAATATTGGCATCACATTAAAGACAGCAAAGTCATAGAATATAAGTTTATATATATATATAATATAATATAATATATATATATATATA